TATGTATAAATGCCTAAATAACAGTTTTCTTCCAAAATTAAGCAATTTTAGATATATCCAACTCAATTTTGATCAATTTTAATACAAAAATCATTCTAAATCTAAGTATTTTATAAAAATAATTGTTCGAAATCTCCTTTTAAGCCAAAATGAAGCAATTTGTGCTATGTCTAATCGATTTGACTCAATTTTAAGCCGAAAATTAATCTAAATCAAAGTTTTTTAACAAAATAAATGCTTAAACAACAGTTTTCTTCCTAAATAAAACAACTTGCTCTAAAAAACTAATTTTTAAAGAATTTTGGAAATACATTTGTAATTTACTTTTAAAAATTACTTTTAATTACTTACAATTATAGAAATTAATATGGAAGTATACAGATATTAGTTTGGAAATATCGAAATGAATTCGGAATTGTTGAAACTATACAGTATGTTTCCAGATTAAATTTACGAGAGAAAAAAATATCTTTGATTTTAGGCCAAAACTGCAAAGGAAAAACATTTTTTGCTTTACCTGAAGCGAGCAAATCTGCAATTAAAATTTTATTATTCTGATTCGTTGAAAAGAAAAGCTTATTCTTTTCTTGGTTTTTGACTTATAATAGTTTTTCTCTACTCCCAAAATGCCAAGTAAGATAAAATAACAAGAACATAAAAAAATGTTAAAAAAATCTATCTATAAAAATGTTGAAATTATGGGCGTTTAAATTTTCCACTTCGACTCTATTTCTGTTGGAAAATTAATTTTACATGTTTTTTTGCTGTAGACTTTTAAAAGAGATAAAAGTATTACTAGAATTTTAAAACTGTTAGAATATAATCAATGAAAAAGTTAGAGATCTCGTTTCTGTGTATTTTTATTATTTCTAATAGTGTTAAGAAATAGAGATTTCGAAGAATAAGTAATTAGAGTCACAAAAGGTAAGTAAATAAACATAAAGTTGCACATTTAAAAAGCAAATTTGAAAAAGTGTAACAACACAACGTAAGAAAATTATTATTATAATTAAAGAACTAAATTTGTTGTTCTTCGTTTTATTCTTCGCTCTTTTTTATTTTGCTTTCTCTTTCGTGAGCCCTGAGACCGCATGTTGCGCTCGTACCTACAATCCCACTACCAGAAACTAATAAGCTGTTAATTCTGGACAATTTCATTAGCGCTCAAATCGCAGAATAATTGGATAACGCGATTAATCCCTAAAATAATATAATTTCCAATACGCTGTTCCAATAATAATTAAGCGTTACAATTTGGAACTGTCAACACAAGCTCACGCTTAACGAATGCATTTTTTCAAATTTCATCCAACTCCGGAACTATTTTTTACTTTTATATTTAAAACAAAAAATAAACTAAAACCTCCAACATTTCCACAAAAAATCCCGAACAAAACTCGTCATCTCCATAGACGAGAGCGGGCACACAGTCGCTTTTAATTAGAGAAAAGAAGCAAAAACCGCACCTCTGACCCGCACAAAGCGCTGTGTTAAAAGAAGTCTGATTTTGAATTTTTTAGTGAAGTGTAATTGCGGTCGGCAACAATAGCACTCACTTCGCAATGGCCGAATTGCTAAACCTGATTAGGTCTGATCATTAAAAACCGCAATTGGGCGGTTTTCCCGAGGGTTTTACAGCAGCGCTGCATTGCTTTTAAGGGATTATAAATGCGCCGTAAATGCACGAATTTGCGTCGAGATGGTACGTTTTTTCATAATCGATTCGGGTTGAATGGAGTTATTAGGGAGGGTCATTTATGGCACATCCCGCTTTATGGCAAAACCCAAGTTTTTGCAGCAGTTTTAGAATTTTAACCAACTAATTCCCAGCAGCAGATTAAGTGTTGGCAAACTTCGTAAATTTTTCAGTTTTTCGCTAAATCGTCTTCAATTTTTAATTAGGACATTTAGTGTTTTCGTTGAGATTGAATTTACGTTTGCGAATCAGATAGTGTGAGGTTTAGAAAGGGGCGAGCGGCAAAGCCGCGGGCCCC